GTTCTTTACAGAAAGCTTTGTCAGGTTAAAATTAGTTCGATGCCAGGTGCCTACCAAAGCTGCTCTATCACTCCCCCTCCTCAGCTGGACAGGGGAGAGAAAAATACAGTGTAATGCTCATCAGTTGAGATAAGGACAGGGAGAGATCACACAGCAATTACCGTCACGGGCAAAACAGACTCGGCTCAGGGAAATCAATTGAATTTACTGCCAATCAAATCAGAGTAGGGTAATGAGAAATAAAACCAAATCTTAAAACACCTTCCCCCCACCCCTCCTTCCTTCCCAGGCTGAGTGGGGGTTGCGGTAACATTGTTTCTGCTGTTCCTTCCTCCTCACACTCTTCCCCCTCCTTCTTCGCTGACCGTGGTGTCTGCAGAGCTGTTTCTCTCACATTTTCTCACTCCTCTCTTTGGCTGCAGTTGCGCAAAGTTTTTTTTCCCCTTCTTAAATATATTATCACAGAGGCACTACCACCGTTGCTGACTGGCTTGGCCTTGGCCAGAGGCAGGTCTGTCTTGGAGCTGTCTGGCATCGGCTCCATCAGACATGGGGGAAGCTTCTAGCAGCTTCTCACAGAAGCCACCCCTGCAGCTCTCCCACTACCAAACCCTTGCCACGCAAACCCAATACATGTCTACAAAGAAGAAAATGTGAATACTGAAGAAGAAAACAAAATACTACTTCATTTTTTCAGAGTATAGAATTGGTCTCCTTTATCTCCCTGAAGAGGTTAAATGTTTCTGGAAAACAGGTTTTAAAGGGTTTGGAATGCTTACAAACAGCCACTAATAGAAAGACCAGGTGCAGGTGTTCCTGTTTATTACTATGAAGAAAATCCTGAGGCTATGAGTGGGAACTGTCAGTGTCTTTTCACTGATGAGAAATACCAGATGTTGCATGTAAGAACTATACTAACCTTAGAGGCTTTTGATCATTTTAATGGAGAAAATCACTCTGATTTTGAACAATAGATAAGTTTGTCCTACAATCGAGTTCTATTAATAGACCTTGAAAGGAATCTGTGTAGTGCGAGTGGGAAGATCACTATCCACAATCCCTTTCACTGCTTATGAGACTTGACAAGAAATAAGTCTGGGACAGTCTGGGCGTTAAAAAAGGTTCAGGATTTGTCCCTGTGGAATTCTGCCTCAAGTGAAGTGCCAGCTGAAAAGTGCAACATCTTTATCTTCAGAAGACTTGGCTGTGATAAAGATTCATTGCTGTCTGATGAAAAGTTAAAAAAAAAAAAAGTGGAGGATATGCTTTGTCTTACCTGTTGTGGTACATGGTCATTTTGCAATTCCTGGCTTGCACCGTATGTCTTCTCATAGCAAAAGCCACAAGATTTTAGTAGATGTGGGCTATTCTGTGTGCTATCATAAACATCTTAGAAATTCAACTAAAGAGCTGTGGGCTATTTATAAGACAGTAAACAAGAGGGAAATGTATATCTGAAGCATATCATCCACATCTAGTGAACATTCTTGCTATGGATGATCAGAAATAGCTTGGTATTAGTGCTGATTCATGCTCCTGATGCTTTGTAAGCATCAGGCATTACTTTGCACTGCTTTTTGTGTTTGTTTTTTCTGAAGTAGTTCTGTTTAATATCTTTATCAATGATCTGGACAAGGGGATCGAGTGCTCCCTCAGTAAGTTTGCAGACAACGCCAAGTTGGGTGGGAGTGTTGATCTGCTCGAGGGTAGAAAGGCTCTGCAGAGGGACCTGGACAGGCTGGATCGATGGGCCGAGGCCAACTGTGTGAGATTCAACAAGGCCAAGTGCTGGGTCCTGCACTTGGGCCACAACACCCCCATGCAGCGCTACAGGCTTGGGGAAGAGTGGCTGGAAAGCTGCCCAGTGGAAAAGGACCTGGGGGTGCTGGTTGAGAGCTGGCTGAACATGAGCCGTCAGTGTGCCCAGGTGGCCAAGAAGGCCAACAGCATCCTGGCCTGTATCAGAAATAGTGTGGCCAGCAGGAGCAGGGAAGTGATCGTGCCCCTGTACTCAGCACTGGTGAGGCCGCACCTCGAATACTGTGTTCAGTTTTGGTCCCCTCACTACAAGAAAGACATTGAGGTGTTGGAGCGTGTCCAGAGAAGGGCAGTGAAGCGGGTGAAGGGTCTGGAGAACAAGTCTTATGAGGAGGGGCTGAGGGAGCTGGGGTTGTTTAGCCTGGAGAAAAGGAGGCTGAGGGGAGACCTTATCGCTCTCTACAACTGCCTGAAAGGAGGTTGTAGCGAGGTGGGTGTTGGTCTCTTCTCCCAAGTAACAA